AGTAATACGTTCTTTACTTCAAAAATGCCATTGTTAGGTGTATGGTTTGATTATAACATCCTCTGTGTTTACCTGTAGGGAATTAGATGCACCAGCTTGTGACAAGGAAGAGCTCCTCCAACAGCTTAAGGATAAATGTACTTTTCTTCGGGAAACTGGGACATTGGTATTAAGAGGATTTGATGTCATCGACAGAGAATTGTGAGGCAGAGTTTCATGCTGTCGTGCAGCGTCTTGAACCAGACTATTGTTTTAAAATCAATGCATTGAACCTATCTATATCTTCAGTATTTTCAGTTGAAACTGTCAACAACATTGATATTTTACCTGTTCACAGTTTGGTTACTGTTTGCTTTAAGATGGTTGTGGAGTCAAAAATGTATGTGTCAATACCTCCTAATAACAATGAACTCGAGTAGAACAAAATGTGGATATTCTTTCAATTTTAATTCCTCAACCCACTGAGCCCAATTTACACACCACAGTCGGGTGGCGAACAGCGTTTCTTGTCGTGAAGGGGAGTAGTTTCGCACCACTTTTTAAGCTAATGACCCGAGCTTTGATCGCCTATCGCTCAGCCGTCGCTGGACGTAACGACAGCTCACGCTCAGCCCGCGCTCGGGTCGCCGACAGTCTCGTGTCACCCCGGTGTCACTCCCGGGTCACCCCAGTGTCACTCCCGTGTCAGACTGGTGCGAGGCCGGGGTCAGCAAGGTGCCATCCCGTAGCCAGGCTTCGGCGAGCTGGCGGTAAGGCCGCGGTAAGGTCGCGCTAAGCCCGCGCCCGGCCCGCGGCCAGCCGCGTGCCACCTCTCTGGCAGCGCTGGCTCGACTTGCTCTCGGACTTCCCTCTGCTCGCACTCAGTCTCTCACTGTAGTTGTTGAGGCTCACGCACGGCCCCAGCGCAGCCTGAGCATGGCTGCACGATCAGCCAGTGGTCGATATTCATTTTGTACAACGATTAGCCGCCCGGTGGGTGTCGACTCAGTCGGGCCACATTGAAAAATAGGGCAACTTTCAGACGGAAAAGCCGTCTGAAAGTTGGCTGAAACTCGAATGCTTCAGAGTGCTAACATCGGAAGAATTGTGTCCGAGCGCTCGGACCGTTTTCAGACGCGGTTTAGACCAACCTTTTCATGCGGGGCGCTGACGCGATCACGGTGAAAATTGAAATTATTCCGAAAACGCCTGTCAGCTAGGCCAGAAACTATACAGGCCGGTAATGAGGGTGGTCAACCTGACATCACTACAGGCGCAAATACCCCTTTTTTCAAAAAAATCCTATCGAAACGCCTGGATACCCTGCGGATATCTCTCCGGCCGACTCATGAGGACAGTGTAGAGTACTGTGTGTTTGCCGCTAGTTTGTTGTGATTTTGTTTCTGTACTCCACAACCCTGGTCATCGGCAAGGTGAGTGGTGCGGGCAAGTGGTATGCAAGAGTAAAGGAAAAGGTAATGAGCTCTGCTCCAGGTGGTAGAGGGTGCTGGTACTAATCATTGCCACATTCTCTCTCTCATCACAGGAGAAAATGGGTGAGTCACAAGGTAATGGTTCTTGAGTTAACAAACTTCCTTTTAGGATCTACGGAACAGGTGCACAGTTGCCACTAATGTGGCAATTGGCACTGAGGATTGAGCCAATATCTTGCTGCAATGGACATGCACATACTGGGCCTGTCAAGCTATTGTGCATGGTTGAAGAATCATACCATACGGACAGCTCAACTGTCTGGACGTTGGGTGGGTAAGCCAGGTATGTTCACGTTGCAAAAAGGCAGGTAGTTCAATGAGGTCTACAGGTTTGCGATAAACTCTATATTGTGTTTACATGTCAATAATCATAATCCACTGCGAGTAAGTTCTCTAGCTCCAGATGGAAGTCGACTACTTCTTGGACGGCCTTCTCATCCTCTGCTTCATAGCTGGCCTCCAGGCAGGCTCGCTCCTCTTCTGCTTCCTGACGCTCTCCGAGCTCCACTCACCGCTTATGGCGCATATGCTTCAGCACTTCTTGGCGCCCCACGGAGTCGTAGGGGTCCACCCAGCCCAACTCTTCCTCCAGCTCATTATCTGCAAGAGGAAAGGGAGG